AGGGGGATGGGGAGGCCGAGGAAGGGGGGAGGGAAGCAGTGCTGGTGGGGGGCTGTCAAGGGGGCTGTGGGGCTGGCCGAACCGCCACGGAGGGAGGGGAAAGGGGGGGGCGGAGTGCTGACATACACGGCCGGGGGCGTGGTCGTGTACGTCAGCATTACAGACTCACAGACAATGGGCTACTATATATATAATATTTTAGAAATGTGCTATAGAGAGGCTGAATGTATTGTTATTGCACTCTCAATCAACAAGATAACAAAACCTCTACCAGTGATTCAATTACCATGCAGGATCAAAGACAGCCATCTACATAGAATCGTAGCACTGGATGGGACCTCAAGAGGTCTTCTTGTCAAGCGGTTCTCAAACTTTTGGGGCTCCGGAGCCCTTTATATGCGTAAAAAATGTATGTGGAGTCCCAGCGGTTCACTGATTTTATGCGTTATACTTATGCAGAGCCCCAGCGGTCCACTGACTGCATGTGTTGTACCTATCAATATTCACACTTTGTCAACCTCATGGAGCCCCTGGATATGTCTCGCGGAGCCCTGGGACTCCGCGGAGCACAGTTTGAGAAACACTGTTCTAGTCCAATCCCATGCACTCAAGCCATGATTAAGTATTATCTAGACTACACAGGTGTTTGACTAACCAGCATTTAAAAATCTCAAGCGATAGAGATTCCACAACATTCCTTGTTGCATTGCTTAACTACTATGACAGGCAGTTTTTCCTAATATCCAACTTAAAGCACACTTGCTGCAATTTACACCAATTGATTCTTGTATGATCCTCGAACAAGCACAATTTTTCTTCCTCCTCCTTGTAATAACCTTTTAGGTACCTGAAAATCTGGTATTATGTCAGCCCCCCATCTGCTCTTCTTCAGACTAAACCCATTTTTATGAATTTTCCCTTATAGCATGGCCCGCACAAAATTCTTGGTCCATGAAATCTGGTCTTATCTTATACAGACTTCACAAGAGAGATGAGTGTTTCTTAAACTGGGGGTCTTGACCCAAAAGGCAGTTGCAGATAGAGTCACAAGGTTATTTTAGGGGGCCTATGGTATTGCCACCTTTACTTCTGAGCTGCTTTGAGATTAGTGAGGCTGAAGAATGGAAGTAGTTACCCAGGAATAGGTGGCCATATCATGCCATGCCATCCTTATTTTGTGCTGCTGCTGGCAAAGGCTCTGCCTTCAGAATTGAGCTCCCAGCCAGTTGCCACCACTCTCCAACTACCCGCTCTGAAGGTAGTGCCACCACCAGCAGCAGCACAGAAGTAAAAGTAACAGTACGACAACACCTCTATGAATAGCCTTATGACACCGTCCCACAACTTTTTATGAGTCAGGAACCCTAAAATTACAACACCATGAAATGTCAGATCTAAATAACAGAATCGTGAAATTTATTATTTTTAAAATCCTATTATCATGAAATTAACCAAAATGGACCATGAATTTGGTGCGGCCCCTATTTAAAGGGCATGTTTTCTAGACCTTTAATCATTTTTGTTTTTATTCTCTGGATTTTCTCTAATTTGTCCACATCTTTCCTGAAATGTAGCACCCAAAACTGGACACAATATCTCAGTTGAGGCCTAATCAGCAAAGTATAGCACAAGAATTACACCTCTGCTTGTTTCATCTCTCATCAGTTTCTTCAATAGCAATATGCATTATATAGGTTCAGTTCTTGAGTTTAAAGTACAAATATTCAGTTGGTGTCCAAAATATGCTGTATGGACCTTGCAGGCTATTAACATGACAGTTGCCTCTACATTAAATCTCACCTTTTCTGGTTTTTCTGTGAAGAGAAAACCTTGGTAGAATTTACTTTCAGTGAAGACGCAACTGATGACAGCAATGGCACAGTTGTATGCAGCACAATGGTACTGTCTCCTTTTCTCCAACAGCTGACTCTCACCAGCCATGTTTTCTGTAAATGCATCATAGCATGACCTCAAAACAAAACAGACCAGAAAACACTGTCAAAAACATTTTTAGAAGGCCAAAGAGAGCCCAATTCAAAGGATGTTGCTGGATGAGACAGTCCCTGCAGCAGAGTCACCAGAGTAGCTGGAAGACTGGCAAGTGGAAGGGCGGTGGCTGGATCCTGGCTGGGAGTCAGAAGCAGAGCCGGTCTCGCAGATGAAGAATCATTGTTCAAATGCCCAGCGGGGGAGGCTGAGAATGGAGCAGGTAACATGGCTGGGGAATCGGTGCCCGAAAGCCAGTCCAGCGGCTGGGGAACCAGTGGCCCAGCTGGAAGCAGAGCTGGTCCCCCAGCTGGGTGACTGGCAGCTGCCAGGGCCTGCAACACAGCAGGGTATGAGGGCAGCCTGTCTACGAGGTTGGCAGTCTATGGGGAGACCCTGGTCTCTGGCAGCAGAGGGGCCAGAATGACCATCTCTAGTCCGGCACACTCCCTCGTTTGGGACTGGTCATGTCCTGAGTGTGCCAGACTAGGGAGGTTCAACCTGTACTTTGATGAGTTGAAATCAGAGCAAGAAAACATTTTTGAGACAATCTCTCAACCCACACAGGAGACACACGTACCTCTTATCTAGGAATTGATGTGCCAATAGGCGCATGTTATTTTTCTAATAACAGAAAAATTAAACAAAAGATCTAGAACCTTTTAGTAATAAGTAACAATGAAAGATAAGGGAAATCCACTAAGTCATTTTAAAAGATGCCAAACCTCACACCTTTCATTAAAAACCAAACCAAACAAAACAAAACCCCCAACTATTTCACACCCGAGAAAAAAAGTGGTACTTACTCTGACAGAAAAATACTTATTTTCATATTCGGACACCCTCACTTCCTAGCATAAATTCAATTCAATTCCTAGTGCTATGATTTAAGCAAAAATTCAGTTTTCTAATAAATTTTTTCTTTGGCCATGATTTTTTTTATTTAAACTGCATCCTTTATAAAGAAGTCTAGCACTCAGACAATATTAGTAACAAACAAATGAATGGAACAGATGAGAAAGTCTTACTTTATTAGCATCTTGGTAAGTTCATTTCCTTCTACATTTGTGGATCCCTGGTAAGCCTGGTTAATTCTTGAGTCCTTGGAATAAACATCCTCGTTCGAGAGACGGGAGTACATCACTTCTAGAATTTTATAATATCCCATTTTTTTGGTGACTTGTGTATCAAAAGCTGGTTCATTTGACTAAAAACAAACGATACACAGAGAAAAAGATCGCTTAGCTTTTGTCCTTACAATATAGCTAAAAAAGCTACACAATAGAAACTAGAGCGTAAACTGCATTTTTTTTTCTATATTCAAAAGTTTACTCTCTATAAACAGGAGTGGGGATTGGCCCCCAAGGCTCAGGGCTCCTCCCTCCCAGCATTGGGGAGTCTGCGCTGACGTTCTAGCCCCCCCATCATTCCCCCACTGGTTTGGAGCCCACAAAATTTACTAGCTTGGGCCCCCCAAGGCTTTGGTGTGTAAGGGGAATGTGGAGAATGTCTTTCTCCTTCTCAGTTGGGGACCACCTCAGTAAGCAGAGGGGGGTTTCTTCTCATTTGAGTGCAGCCCCTGATTTTTCTGTGGGTTAGTGGCCCTCCAACCCAAAATAGGTTCCCCACCCCTGCTCTATAAATCAACTAATCACTTTTCATGAGAAAAAAAAGTAGAAATAGAAGAGTAGGAAATAGAAGAACTAGGTTCCACTTCCATCTCCACAGATCTCTTGAATTATCCCGGACAAGTCAAAACTAGGATTGTAAAAGTGTAACCAGTTAATGATTAAACTCTGCCTGGAGTCCTGCAGGCTCACAGCCAGGACCCAGAGTGCACTGGGTTGCTGGGAACACAGGCAGCAGCAGGCAGAAGCGAAGGCCACCATGTAAAATGTGGAAATGCTGCAGCATCCCCTGCACCCTTAGTTCCCTGGTTAAATGTGTAACTAATATAATTTTAATCAGTTGTGCTTATTTTTTTCCCCCACACATTACATCTCTAGTCACCACCTCTGTGCCCATATTCCCATCTGTAAAATGGGGAGAAGAGAATTTCCCTACCTCACAGGGGCATTGAGAGTCTTACCTAAATGACTGCAAAGCATTCAGATCTTTGGTTAGATATAGCATGTAAGTAGAAATATTATTAAAAATATTTATCAAACAAAATATCTAGGACACTAGTCACCATTAGCACTCAAAATCTAAAGCTGTGGGCTTTTATCACAGTCCCACTGAGCCAAAAGAAAAAAGCCTGAAATATAACATTTATCTGTAACATTTTACATCAGAGAGAAGGCAGCCCATAGAAATATAGGCTTAGAATTCTATTGTTTTTTTTTTTTTGTATTGCAATGAACTTTTGTATATATGTATTTAATTTTTAAAAACAGAATCTTGATAATATGAATCCAGGCTGCAAAAAAGTCAATGGGAGTTTCTCCCTAGAATGGTCAGCACTTTAGTATTTTGAAATAAATCAGTAAGAATTTTAAATTGCCTAAACAAAAGGTATTACTGACCATAGGAAGTACTAATATTTTTCTATAGTCATCATAATTACATGTTAATGTACAAGTTTACACCATTTAAGAATACAACAACACAATTTAACATACAGACAAATGGGCACACCATAGTTGAACACTGAGCAGGATTTTGCCTTCAACAGTACCTTAAGCCTCTCTGGATATACACAGATAACATTTCTTCTCTTTTTTCATAAAAAACATATAAGTTACTGTAAATCAACATCACAGTAATATATTATTCATATTCAGGTCAGATCCAACACATACAAAAATCAATGGAAAGACTTGCAGTGACTTTAATATGTTAATTTGTACCCTAGAGCTCTACAAATCTACAGGTATACGCAGATATGTATCCACAATTCATTTCTGCAAATTTGCAGATCTGCTTTATATCCATGGGTATCCACATTCACAAATGTGAATATCTGTGTATCGGTTTTGAGAATTTGAATACTAATTTTGTATTTGCGCAGGGCTCTACCTATAATGTGCTCAAATCTAGAAAAAATGATATTTACATTGATGATGTATTTATAGTTGTAGTAAGCTGAGGGTCGGTAACATGGAGTCAGCAGGCCTGTAACATGAAAACAGCAACAGGCCTGGAATCTAGTGAGCAAGACTTTGGTTAAGTTACACAGCAACCAAGAAAGAGGCCCTATTTATAACTGTATGATTGTGTAAGTTAGGTTGAGCATGGAAGAACATAGAGAGGTACCAGGTACAGATTGTAAGCCAGTAGCGGAACCTCTGAATAAGAAACGTCTTGGTACCAAACAACTCCCCAAACACTAATGTGCATACCAACCTAAGTTCAAGACTGGATCGAAGTTGATAGCATGAAGGATAGTAAATGAGCCCCTCTTCTGTAAGGGGAGGGGTAGTAACTAGGCAACAGAGAGTGGCATATGTAAGAAGTGATGTAAGTTTTTTGTACATGTCTATAAAAGGGCACCATAAAAGGTGAACACCAACCGACCCTGGTTGGGGGGTGCTTTATGCACTTTTGTAGATCAGGGCGTTATCAACGCTTACAGAATGAACAGTGGCTTAGCATTGAGACTTTCTGCTAACAACTGGTAATGTAAGTCATTTGGTAGATAATTTCATAGCGGTTAGGTCCATAAAAGGCTATTAGCCAGGGGATAGAAATGGTGTCCTTGGCCTCTGTTTGTCAAAGGATGGAGAGGGATGGCAGGAGACAAATCGCTTGATCATTGTCTTTGGTCCACCCTCTCTGGGGCAGCTGGTGCTGGCCACTGTCGGCAGACAGGCTACTGGGCTAGATGGACCTTTGGTCTAACCCAGTATGGCCGTTCTTATGTTCTTATGGTAACAAACATGCTGATGGTTAGTACATTGCCAACACCTGCAGAATGCACAGTGGCTTAGCACTGAGACTTTCTGCTGACAACTGTTAATGCATAGCATTCAGCAATAAGTCTGCTCGATTGGTTTCATCCTTGCCTGAATCTGTCGTTTCTGGGGGCTCTCAGAGACCTACTGTGTTGTCCCAAGTGCACGGGGTTTAACGCTTTAGATAAAGGGAGCGCATGCACGCACACAGCCGAGAGTTTATCACCACCGATGGAACAGAGGGCCTGTCAGGAATGCACCAGGACAACCCTGAAACCCTGACTGATGACAATAACTAAGAAAAATATAATCTGTAACATATCACAGAACAATATGGGTATTTTAAAGGGTTTATTCTAACTAAGGATATAAGAGAGTAGTCAACAGAGGCAGCAAGGTCAAGAGGGGGGAAATCAGGAGCTGCCTTAAAAGGGCAGCTGCCCAGCCTTAGACAGGGGCTGTTGCCGGCTAGGCAGGCAGCCCAGCTCAGTTCCGGCTCACATTGTGTCTAGGACCGAACCCTGCTGCGGCTCTGCAATTTAAAATGCAGTAGGATCCAGGGGGCAGGCTGCCTGGCTCCTACTGCCTTTTAAGTTGCAGAGCCGCAGCGGAGTTTGGTCCTGGACCAGGTGCAAGCTAGAACTAAGCCAGCTGCTTATCAACAAAACAAGCAGTTGATAAAAATTCTATTAACTACTTAATTAGTCAATTAACCTCATTTTAACATCCCTAATTGTAACCTTAAAGAAAAGGAAGGTCACCTTTGTAAATCTGGCCTTCAGTGTATCCATGGCTTCTACTACAATCTTGCTAAAGAATTCTTTCAGTGCATCCAAGCTGCAGTGCAACAAGAGTGTGAGGAAAGAGCGATCCACAAAGGCTTGGCGACAGGTATTTGAAAGAAGAGCTTCACTCTGGAACATTTTATGTACAGTGTCCAACAGCACCACTTGTTTTTCACAGCTACTCCTAAACAGGATGAGAATTTTAGGTTAACCACTTTATCCAATTTCCATTTAAATTTTAAACTCCACAACATTTACTTTTTGATTCTCTTCAGTAGTCATATCAACTTAGTTTGTAATCTCTGTGGATTACATGGTAAACAAGGTCAACACTGTAGTGGGATAACTATGAGGAAATCCTATGTATTGCAGGAGGTATTTTTTGTCATTCAATAAGTGGCATTCTGCTCTTTGGCTACACCTATGCTGCACCTTGCTGTTTGTGATATATAGGGCACATACACCTATATTCCTCATTGAAAAGCTAGCTGTGTCTACTCTGTGGTGCTTAGCTACACATGCCAATGAAAAGCTCTGGCAGGGAAAGACAACAGGAAGAGGCTGCAGCACTTCCTTGTTGCCTCACCCTAACCAGAGGCTCTCCTCATGGTAATGAAAGGCTGAAAAAAATAGCAATGCTGATAGGGAAGGCTCTTCTTTGGCTATGAAGAATCACAAAGTATATACCCAGGTACATACCCACAGGTTCCATGTGTGTCTTAATTGCCTAAGCACTCCTTTACCATCTACACTGCTATTAGTATCTGTACTGGGGGTAGGCAGGAGGGAGGAAAACAAAGGGGTGCTATGTATGTACTTCTGCATGACACCATAAGAAGTGCAAAGTGTAGGCATGCTTTTTGCATCATTGTTAAATCAACACCACAGCATGTCATTTGAAAGCACTGGAGGTGCTATCTGATGGATTGTAAATGAGAAGTCTAGGCCAACTATGATCATGAAAGATTCTATAGCATTCTACAGAACAGGATTACTCCCATCATCTTAGCCAAGTTGCAAATTTGGTAATTACATTTTGTCTACATGAGCTTCCCCCTGCATTGTTAACATATGTCAGGCTTTTCTTCATTTCCTAACAAACTATAATGCAGTGCTGATATGTGTTGTTAAATGGAGGCCATATTTCACCCCAAAGACAGCTGTCTTTCAATGGCAGATGACAATTCTTGTGCACACATAATTTAAGTGTTTTGGGAGCCTTCAGGACAAAGACCACTACATACATTCAAAATAGTACTTGTGCACATGAGAGGCTGAAACACAAAACCACTAAAACCCTATATGTAGGAAACCAATACCTACTAGCCTAGATACAGGAAGCTTGTTATATACAATTATTTGAAGTATTTCACAGGATTTAGTCTCCTGTTCAGTTTTGCTTAATTTTCAGAAGCAGCTTGCAAGTAAGCAATGGAATTAGCAACAATCAGAACTGTAAGGAGGGCTCAAATACTCTATTCTGATTCCTGAGACTGAGGGGTTAGCTGCCCAAACATATTTTGCAACCTAACTATGCAAAAGCACAGAATCAGATTTTTCAAGAAACATATCTATCAGAATTGAACATCTACGCATTTAGAATCAGGTCCTCTGTGTATATAAAAACTCAGTTATATCTTTAAAAATGTGTACAAAACATCACCTAAAATGAGGTAATAAGCAGATAATAAATCTATGTATAAATATTAGCGGGTATCTGTCTGAGTCCACTTGTTCAAGAACGTCTCCTACACGGTAAGAGCTAGGGCCACCAAATTTGATATGCAGTTTCCTCTTTTCCCAACTTAAAGAAAAGTCAGGATTTGGTTGTGCCAGGATACCCAGAAAAAGCACTGTTTTCCATAACATGCAAAAGGAGGGACTGCTATTCAGAGGGACACAATGTTAGAGTGGCCACTGGGGGCAGTGAGCCTGCAGGAGAGAGCTATCCTGCAGAGTGTCCATTGAGGATAGCTGTACCACCAAGGGAGTGGCCAGCACAGTTGGGGCTCTGCCATCTTGCCCAAAAGCACACTGAGTAAGTAGGCCCCCTTCCCTCCTCCAGCCTTTGACTGCAGCATCAGAGTGGGCAAGAAAAAAAGGCCTTTGGTGGCTGGGGGAGGAAAAAACCCTGGATGCCAGGAGGAGATAAAATATTTGCTGGATAGGACTCTCCTCCCCCCGAGTCTCTTCTCACCCCCGCAATCATCACTCTTGCACCCACCCCAAGTCTCCTGTGCTTCCCCCATACACATCTCCAAGGCCCTGGCCTGAGTCTTGCACCACCACCAACCACTGCTTACCCAGGCAATGCTAGGTAAGTCTTGTACGATATATAAATAAGTCTCATTCATGCACCCACCAAAGTTGAATTGAATTTTGCTATTGACTTCAATGAAAGAAGCATCATTCATAGAGAGAGAAAATGAGAATTCAGAAAATAACAGTTTATCAAGAGTCAGATGGATTATAGCTATGCTTTATTCAGTCTCTTGCTTTCAGGACAATTGAAAACATATTTGACCTCCAAAGAGGGGGAAAAAAGAAGGACTTAATCACTGTCCAGCACCTATTGGCAGGGCAAATTTTGACACATATTGGCTCTTATCCCAAATAATCACATAAAACTAAACATACAAAACTGAAATCTGGACATAGAAGACTTCAAGTCAGGAAACTTTAACACTTTCAATGAGGATATAATCATAAACATGCTCTTTTATGAATATCACAAATACTTTGTAAATGATTCTTATTGTCCAGATAATACTCATTTGCACAAAATAATTATTACTTGTGTTCATGATCGTTACTTATAGAAAATGTTAATTGTGTTAAACATACAAGCAGAAGAGCAACTGAACATCTCAGAGTACGTTTGCCAAGATTACTATTTTGATTTGAACAGTATTAGAAGAGACTGAGCTGTGGAGGCTTTGCAAACATTACCAGATACATGAAATATCACTTGGAAATCAGAACAATAATTACTTGTGTTTTACAAGAAATACTGGTTAAAATAGTTTGGGAGAATTTCAGGAGATGCTATTGCTCAAGATAGATCAGAAACAAATTTACAAGTTATCTGCTCAAATAGAGATAGATTGCTTCTAGCCATAACAATCTATATAGCAGGCCATGGTTACTCTCTAGCACCTATTGGCAAAATAAAGTTTCACAAAAAAAAAACAAAAAATGATAGCCCACGCTCACCTTCTGGAAATTCTTTTGAAACTGGTTTGAAACAAGTCCTCCATAAAGTGTTTGTGGTCCCTACAAAGGATTTCTGTCATCAGCTGTAACAACATTGGACTCTGAGATAATTCTAGTGCATCTAGAAACTGGAAAAAATGGAGAAAAAAAGGAATACGAGAGTTGTCCAACTGCGTCAAAGCAAATGATCCATCACAGATCTGAGATCCTATCACAAACAAAGGTGAGCAGCAGATGCTACTAGACCATCCTCAAGAAATGATTAGTGATAAGAAAGCCTTTTCCTCTGAGGAGTATGGGGATGTAATAGCTGACAGAAAGCCCTATTAATTCAAGAGAATCACATGTTTTTCCTGAAAGTTGGTAGCAGGTACATGGATGGAGCTAAAGACAGGACTATGCAGCACTTTAAAGACTAACAAGATGGTTTATTAGGTGATGAGCTTTCGTGGGCCAGACCCACTTCCACAGATCAAATTGTGGAAGAAAATTGGCATGACCATATATACCAAAGGGATACAATAAAAAAAAGTGAATACATATAAAATTGACAAATCAGATTTTAGAACAGAGGAGATTGAGGGGGCGAGGTTAGTTTCTATGAGATAATGATATATGGGGTGATAATTGGGGAAGCTATCTTTGTAATGGGTAAGATAATTAGCATCTTTGTTAAGGCCCATTCGTAAAGTGTCAAATTTAAGCATGAATGACAGTTCTGAGGCTTCCCTTTGCAGTCTTGTGTTAAAGTCTCTTTGAAGCAGGATGCATGTAGTCAGGTCATTGAGACAATGCCCAGTCTGGTTGAAATGGCAAGAAACTGTTTTTTCTTTGTGAAACTGTCTGATGTCTGTTTTGTGTGCATTGATTCTTTGGCGAAGTGTCTGAGAAGTTTGTCCAATATACATAGCAGACGGACATTGTTGGCACATGATGGCATAATTTATATTTCTGGATGAACCGGAATATGTGTTATTGATCTTGTAACTAACATAGTTAGGCCCAATGACGGTGTCAGCAGAGTAAAAATGTGGACAAAGCTGGCAACGGGGTTTGTTGCAAGGGAAAGTTCCAGGGTTGGTATTAGTGTGGTATGTTTTTGTTCCACTTTATGGATGGATGGACAAAACGTTCATTGCCATGTGTGGAAGAAGCAGCCTGAGAAGACATTGTGCCTCTCCATTGCTCCTTTTGGTAATGTGCCTTCCCTAGAGAGGGATGTGGTTCAACAGTCATCGTGTAGCTCATAGGAAATACAACTTAGCACTGCCCTAATATAAACAACATATTCTTCAACAAAGTAATCAGATAACTGTATTATCTTAAATATGGCATATTACTTTTATTCAGATTGAATTATCATGGGCCCTTTCCTTTAAACCTTACATTCTACTGAGCTTAATCAGACTACTTGTATGAATAGGAATTATTCACAAGGGTAAAGGTTTGCAGAACTGAACCTTGTATTTATATTCCTAATTTCTGATGTTTAGAATAATCAACCACTAGGATAAAATTAACACAATTTGGTGAACTAAATCATGGTTCAGAGGAAACGAGTCTGTCATCTCAAAGAACATACTGATAAATGTATTGTTTCTGAATACAAAGTTAACTTATGTTTTCAATTATGCACCTTAAACATACTTAAGATACTGACCTTTTTAATGCAGTCCACATAGTTATTGTACCTCAGGGTTCCCTTGGGAAACTCATCAGACTTCATGGGAAAATTGAGAGCCACAAGTTGGTCAAGGGCATGCTTAAGCTCACTAATCCTTTCTCCAGTCAGGTTAGTGAAGAATGGAAGAATAATCACTGCTTGACTCTGAAGTAAATAGAGGTTATTTTAAATGAAAAAAACATTTTCATTCTCCAATTATTAGATTTTATCATTGAAAAAACTACAAATTATTCCTCACTGTAGTGGAGCATAATGACCTCCCACTAACCTGGAGGGGAGGAGCCCCGCCACAAACCCATTTGGGCAGAACCTGAGCCCACCTCCCACCTGACCAGAAATCAGGAGGCAGGCCAGAACTATAAAAGGCCAGTCAGGAAGAGCAGTAGGGGCCCAGCCAACAGAAGAGGCAGATGTTGGCCTTGTGCTCCCGGGCTGCGAGACCGAGGACTGGCCTGGATCCCCATGCCTGCAAGAGGCAGAGGACTGGCAGAGACCCTCACACCTACCAAACACGGATAGTTGGCTTGGATCAACAGACTTGCTGGAGCTGACAAGCCTCAACTACCCCACAGATTTGCTGAAGTCCCCGGTACCCAGGAAGGGGGAACTGGAAGTAGCCCAAAGGTAGCCAGCCATAGCTTAACTGGGCTGCAACAGCAGTCAGCATGTTGCGGTCTGGACTCCCTGCTGACCCAGCAGCAGATTACTTGGCTGCTGTCAGGCCCTAGGCTGGAACGCAGAAGAGTGGATGGGCCTGCATCCCCCCTGCCACCAACTTTCTGGGTGGCAGTTTCCCTCCTTTGCTAACTTAGGTGAGCCACCTTGTGCTCTAGATCTCTGCCTGAACCAGGAGACCTGAACTCCAAACTGTGTTTGTTTGCTACCCTGCCCTGAACTAAGACCAGAGCTTCTGACCTGGCTGTGGACCACCAATCTGTAACCAGTGACTGTTTTGGTTGGGTTGCCAACCTGCCCTGACCCAGAGCCAGACTGGGAACTGTTTGGATAAAAGTTGGCCTGAACCAGTGCCGGGCTTTCGGACAGCCCTCTGAACTGGGCTGACCATCAGCCCGAGGCCCAGGACTGAATAGCCCCTCTGCAAACCCCTACACTCACTAATAGTTAGGTGAGTAGATAGCTCAGGTGGTTAGTAATGAGTTAACATGAAGCCTTTCATCTTTTAAGTTACTGATCTAAAATCAAGCCCTGGTCAGTGATGACCAAAAATTATCCTCCATTGGATAAGCATCTGTAAGCACCGAAAACCACCACTAACACTGCACTAATTGATGTCCTTCTTGGAAGCTACAGCAGAAGGTCCAAGCTCAATTAAATATAAATATATAGACAATCATCAGAGTAACCTTGACAATTTAGGACAGACACACATTGGCAGGGAAGTAACCATACAGTAGTACTTCTTCTGTAGGCAGAGAACTTCAGTTGCCAGAGCTCTCAGTCCAGCATCTTTTTCACTCCATGCTACCACTGGGTTCTTAGCCCCCGATCTAATGTCTAGACTTACACATACACGTTTATGAGTCTGAGATTTAGCTCAAGCAGTAAGACGTGAATTCTTCTATATAGAATGGTCCCTGGCTCAAACACTACAGATAATGCTCAAAAGTGAAATGACATCTCTGATCAAGCTATATTGCTCTTACATTTTAAGTGAGTTTATAATTATATCTATATTTCCATATTATTGACTTTTCCTAAAACTACATGATCAAAAAGAGACGGAAAAATAAGGAAGATTGGGAACAATGAGCCATCTAAAAATTATGACATATCTATGTATGATTTTTAGTTTGCTGACCTGTGCACACCTATGGGAGAAAAGGAAATTTGTTGGGTTATTATGAAAAGCAAGAGAAAGGTACTCTTAGAGATATAACACAGTTAAAACTGGTTTTTAATCCATGAGTCATATTAGCATTCAACTTAGGGGGGCGAAACACACAATTTACCTTCAGATTCAGTCCTAAATTCTGATCAGTAAGTAGGCTGGTATATGTTTTAAAAACAGCAGAGAAAGCCTCGTGATTTGTGTTAAAAGACACTGAGGAGTCAATCTGTAGAGACAAAAAATAAAACTTGAAACAATATTTAATATATAAAAATAATCTCTGTATTAAACATTTCCATGATTTTTGTTTGGAGTTTCATAAAAATCATTCATTTCTGGAATTTATTTCAGCAGACAGCAGATGTACATATGATTAAGTTTTGGTCTTACATATGTTATTAGCAAGAATCTAAAAACTCCTATCCATCATGATGCTGGGTATCACGTGCTATGACTCTTATGGAACAATGAAAAACAATATTAAGTCCCCTTCCAAAGCTAGGTCGCCTATGATCGCTGCACTATTACCAGCTAAGCTCTTATGACAATCTGCTTTGCATATTTTCAAACACAGCTTTGAGTAATAAACCTCAAACCTATGGAATGAAAATAAAAGAAGAAGTGAATAGGGGAGATAATCCTGATTCTTTTCCTTAGTATTTTGCATAGGTTTACAAGCTGTCAATAAAGCTGAGGAAGAGTGTCTCAAAGAGGTGACTGTATCTCTTTGGTATATATGGTCATGCCAATTTTCTTCCACAATTTGATCTGAGGAAGTGAGTCTGGCCCACCAAAGCTCATCACCTAATAAACCATCTTGTTACTCTTTAAAGTGCTGCATAGTCCTGTCTTTTGTTTCAAAGAGGTGAAGGAAGAGAGAGGCAAAGAAACTGAAGTTCTTACAAAACAGAATAGTTTTCTGAAATGATTTGGTTTGAGGACTTCCACTCCACAAAGAATTGTCTGGCTGCCAACAATACATGCAGTATCCCATTAGAGATTGTTTGCTTCCCAAAGATTACTTCTTCCATTGATAACTTTTCTTAGGAAGGAAAGGGAAATCTAAAACATCAGGCACAGGAGTAAAAATGGGAAGATGTAGAGTTCTGCCTGCCAAAACCTGTTTGATTTTTTAAAAAATACCTAGTATTCATTATTCAGAAAATACTGAAATTTTCCAACTCGTAATAAACCTAAACCTTCAAACACTAACACTCTTCCAAAATGGGAGGTGTTCTTACATATTGCTGTGAAAGGGGTTTTAACTTTACCAAACACAATACATACCTGCAGAACTTTAGCCAACAGTGTCAACACAGCCATTTTGCTCTCTGGAGCAGAATCTTTGGACCACCAGCTGTCAAGCCTTGTCCAGTTTCTCAGTACTGCAGTCACCAACTTCATTCCCTGCTGCTTGCGAACAGCACGGTCTCTAAAGCTTTCATCTAATATACCATTCAGGATGGTACCCACCTGAAATGAAGGCAAAATAAAAATTCCATGTATTTCATCTAGTGACATTTAATTCAGTGTAACTATAAGATCTGATCACTTGGATGGATGATTACAAAACAATAAGCATCACTAGTTTGGGAGACTTGGACAGCCAATTTCCACTATTTTAATGGAAATGGCACCCAAATTCTATAGATAATTTTGAAAATGTAAATCTAAAATATTAATCAAGTGAAGAATAGTTTCATGCATTTAATACTCATGCTAAATGTAGTTTTCCAGGAAGACATATTAGCATTAGGGATCAAAATAAAAAGCAAACAGTTCAAATTGCTTCCATATTCATTCCATGTATGGTGCAGCAGTTCTGTCTCTTGCTTAAAGTTTGTGTAATCATGGGAAAAAGGATGATATTTGAGTGAGAGATACGGTAATCTAATAAACTATATTCTTCTAAATTATTATCTAGAATAGATCTAAGATACAAATTAAACAACATTTAAAAAGAAAATCAAAATATTTCTGTTCGCAAGTACACAAAGAAGCTAAGAAGAAAGGTATATAATACATGGTAACAGTCACGTATTTTTTGCTTTCTGTCTCTGATTTTCAAAATTGAGAGGAGAGCGTAATAGGATGGGAATCCCAGTTTTCATAAACAGAAAATTCTTCTAAATGGGGGGTAACCAGAGAATAAACAAAAATCACTAAAGTATTATACCTAAACTTTGCATCTTATGCTCCAAGGATTATTTGCATTTTCAATTACATAAACATCATATTTGGATTCCACCAGATTTAGAACACTACTGTTAAACTATGAGTATTTTTCTTCCCAAATCTTCAAAAATGAGAACATAAGAAAAAAAATCTCACTAACATGAAGAAAATCTCCAAGTTCTAACAAAGGAGAAGGAGGGAGTGTGGTTTTGGAAAATAATTAAGTGACCATGTCTGTCTGACTTCCAGCACATAGATCAGTCACAAGAAGGTTGTAAATAAAAGAAGTGGAGAATTTAAAAAGCTGGTTCTGTAGAGAATATCGACTGCCAGTTACAACCATGTGAGTGTGAATATTTAGGAATCTTTTAGATATGAGAGATCCAGTTTTCAGATTAACAGCTATTATGGCTTTGCACAAGCAGCACATTGGAGAATCAAACAGGTAAGTGCTAGCCTTGAAAAAAAAAATCACTTTTTTTCTGCTCACACTAGGTTTAATGACAGTGGAAATATTTAAAGTAATGTCACCAGAGAGAGAATTTTAAAAATTGCCTGAGAGAAAACAACTTTTAAATCATATCTCCAGACTATCTTTAAAAAATTACTTATTTATTTTAAGAATTGTGTCTATTTCCTTGCTGAATTTTAATCCAAGAAAGAACACGTGGGCTCAAAAGCAACATCATCAAACATGCGTGACAACACCTCTTTGTTGGACTCTTTAGTAGAAATGTTGAAATAAGGCCTCTCAACTTCTAAATTCTTCCTATGGACCTGTAGAAGAGTCCCAAGAAAGAAGACCCACATGTCCCCATGATCCTAGGCAGAAGCCACAGCACCTCAGGTTCCAGTCTCTATATTCTCTAGACCCCTATGTGGGCCAAGAAGCTAGATGCCCATCCACCCGTGGGTTCCTGC